GAGCATTCCTTCTCTATGCTGCCCTTAGAGAGATGGGGGGAGAGTCAGAGAGAAGAAAATAAGGAGATGTTCAAAGTTTTTAAATTGATTGTGGACATACAGGGACAAGATATTAACTCTACCTTTGAAGAGAAGCCAGATTTAGAACGGTTTCCACCCGACCCAGGGGGGGCATGGGGAACATTGGAGTGTGCGCAGAGAACAAAAGCACCCCCTATGGCACAGGCACTGCAGAAGAAGCTCCAAGGCCACGCTGGACAAATATCAGCAATTACAGAAACAGTTGAGTAGAAACAGGTGGCTCAAGCAGCTTCACAGGGAGACAAAATAGCCAAAAAATCGCTAACTATATGACACCTAGTTTGAAATTCATTACTGTAATTAAAAGTTGATAAACTGCAATGGTCACCATTGCTATCACCTGGCACTGAGAAGCTTTTCATGTAACATTGCCTGCTTTTGTAAAATCGTGTCCTTTTCCCTCTGTCTGCGAACAGCAAGAGAAATGTTGGGAGAAAGAACTGCATTTCTTAAAGTTAACTCTGTGAGTTTTTTTTTGCTCTCCGTTTTTCCCCTCTGCAAGAGCATGTAGGGGGGATGACGAAGACTTCACTCAAACCTTCTAGAGGTAACAGCAGCAGAGTGGGCATTTCACCCCCCCGGCTCCATCTCAAAGAAGAAGCACTGGGATAGTACCCAGTTTGTTATAAAGTCATGATTCATTGTTTTCTTAGAATGTCTTTATATACCCTTTTAGAGTTAATTTTGTGTTTCAAAGTAATTGTGAGTTCTTAAAGTTTTGGAGTTTTACTACAGAAATTATTGCAATTCTTTAGAAAATTAAAAAAACCCCTCTTTAAAAATGTTTAGAGTAAATACTAACAGAAGTAAAAAGTTACCTTGCAATAATTAGTTTTAAAACCTAATGTTAAAATATTGACTGATTTACAGCTACTAATAAAATGACCTTCCAATTAATGTTATCTACAAAAGGTATTCATGGTTTAAAAAATAATTAGCTAAGAGAACGTCACTGCACAAGACAAAGTTAAGTTAACCTTATGTGATCCATTTGCTTGTTTTTTCCACAATTTTAATAAGGTAATTTCAATGTGAGTCTTTTTGCTATAAAAACACATATAACAGCATGCATACCAATTTGGACTTTGAATTTTAATTAAAAATTGGACTTTATGTTTCTGAAAAGTGTTACAAAGCTGAATGGTAACTTGCCAAATCATGTTGTGGTTTCTCTCTAGTAAAACTGCACTTTAAAAATCCTAACCAACTTAAGCATATACCAAGCAATTCCTACTATAAGTGTTTTCAGTAACATCTGCAGTTATTATGAGTTATTTTCAAAACCAAATGACATGGAATTGTGATGTATTTGTTACATCCTTATAACCCCTATAGTAAATCCTTGTTACTGTTATATTGTGTTTAAAAGGTATATACAAAGCTTTCAGTTGCCCTTTTTGTAATAATAGAGTAAGATTGACTTATGCTTTCATTTGATATAGATTGAGGGTTAATAGAATTAAGCAAAGTTAAGTTTCACTATGTTTGAGTGTTTTTAAGTTGTTTTGTAACTCTGGTATTCTTTTGAGGTTTTGTTATTTCCTTTTGTCATAATTAATTTTTACCAGGTTTGAATTTTGTTTAATTTAAATGGTCTCACGTTTTGTGAAAAGACACTTGTCTAAACTGCAAAGTATAGTTACCTTCCTAGAAAGATGAGGATGACTACGACTGAAACAGCTGTGATAGAACACTGATGAACACCTGCTTGTGGATAGAGGGTAATGCAGTCTGTGACACCCTTGATTTCATTGGGAGTTCTACTGTTTGTTGCAATTTCTGCAGTTTTTGTTTTTTATTGGTAACACAAAAGAACAGTGATTGTTACTAGGAAATTTAGGAGTATTTTACCTTGTTTCATTTTTGGTCATTAAGACATGACTGTTCTAAAAATATTATCTTGATTTTCTCAAACACTTACTGCTGACATATTCATTGAATAATGTGAATTTATGGATTTTTATGATGAGCATTATCTACAGAGTGTCATTGTTGTATTTATAGCCAGCTTCTTATATTTTAACATATTTTTGTGCAATTACCTTTTAGACATGTGTCATCTGAGATCCTTTTGTTTTCTAACTACAGATGCATCTTGGTAAACAAGTTATATAGCTGTTCCTATACAGAGTTTTCTTGGTTTTTACTCCTTTCCTTGTTTAAGAAGATTTGATTTTGCCTAATCCAGTGTAGCTTTATTATTTTTGAGTGCCTTCAGAACTCCAAGAAAATGTATCATTGCTGAAAGTCAGCTGTTATGAGAGAAACTTCAGATTAAACCAACTGCTGAATGGTTTAATTGGTCTGTTACCTAAGACTTCTGATCATTTGCTTTATACAAATGCATTTCAACAGTTTGCTGTGCTTTAAGCATCTCATAGCTGCTATTATTAAAAACCATGTTTTGAAAATGAGTTAAGAGACATCTTTCCAGTTTAAAGCCTAGGCCCTGGCCAAGCCTTGGCTTTACCTGTATAGAATGTTGGCCAGCAGATCCAGATGTTTTCTACACCAAATCAGTATCTGAGTCACTTTTTGACTCAGCAATTTGACCCTATTAATATGACAGCTGGATCAATTTTGAAGTGGGCTTGAAGAATCATTTCCGGAGGTGGTTATCCAATCCTTCACTGATTTTGTTGTCTGTTTGCAGACTATGGGATGCTGGTGCAGTGTTTTAGTAGTTAATAGTAGTTTTATATTACATTTGTTATTAATAATGTTTATAATCTGACTGATTTCTGACTGCTGTAGGCTTTTCATTCATTATGTATATAGTTTTGTGTTGATATTAGTATGCATGATACAAGTACATCTCACTTTTAAAAACATAAGGAACTGATACCCTAAAAGCATTTGATTAATGTAGTATGTACATTAGAAATTTAGACCACAATTCATTTTGAATAATGAAATATTTACATCAAAAATTTAGAAAGATCATATAGTCTGAATTTACAATTAAGTGTACCACAGCTAAGCCAAAATGATGCATTAACTTTAAGGGGAGAAGTGCCTATGTTTGTTGACTGGTTCAAAAAGGTCACCTGTTCATCTGACCAGACTGTCTGCCCCTGAAAATATGAGACCCAGTGAATGGAGAAGTCACCATACAGCCTTAGTACTCCAAGCAAGATCAGAAGTGGAGCTGCCAAGACACAGTTATGTCTGGAAACTACACAGACAGTTTGTCAACAGAAGTTTTATGTTATCTTCATAATGTTGTGTCTGTACCAATTTTCTTCAGTTATTCTGTTTTAAGATTTGAAAGAATGTGTTGTATGAATCTTTCTAACCACTCAGTCTCTATACATGAACAACTAAAACAGCTGCAGAACAAGTTACATGCCCTGAAAGAAGTTGATGACCCTGTTCGAAGTTGGTTAACCAATTGAGACATTATTTAAGTAGTTAAAATCTCTTATATTAGAAGAGAAATTAATTCTTGTTATAGTATTAATAGAGATAGTTATTGTAAGCTGCATGTTATCCTGTATCTGTAAAAGTCTGAAATGAATCAAGTCCAAAACCTGTGTTGTGCAAAAACAAAAAAGGGGAATTGTAGGAAAACATTTTAACAGAGCAAAAGCATGATATTTTAGTAAAAGCCTGTCTGCAGAACCTAGCTTTCAATCCAGGCAACAATATTAAAGGCAGTGTCCCTGAAACTGTCCTGGAACAGCAAGAATAAAGAAAAACAATGGCATTGTGTACATGGAAAAGAATGTAAAACAATATGTATTAACCAATAGTAGCTTGCTAAGCCCCACCAACCTTGTAGGACCCCATAAAAGTGTGCAAAAGATAGAAATAAATGACGTTTGCTATACTTCTATGAAGACTCAGTGAATAGTCTGAGTGGTTTTCCATTATTTCAATTTTGATTTTTTTCAATAAATGTGACAGCTATGGCTGGGCTTTAAGCTGCACAGACAAAATTGGCCCTAACAGATTCCAACTCCAGTAGCCTAGTTCATTAAAGAGTAGAAGAAAAGGAATCCCTAGGTAAAATAATGATAGGTTGGATTAGAACTCAAACAGGGGACCCCAGCTAGTCCCATTCAAGACTGAAGGCAGACATCTAATTGGTCAGTGAGCTGGGTGGTGTTAAGAATTCAACCAATCAAATGTTAAAGCACAGGAATTTTGAAGCCCCTATAAAAGAGGGTGTCCATCAATAAACTTTGGCTGTTCTTGCATGAACTTGGTGTGTTTAGTCATGTATCTGTCTCCAAAACTGTGACAAGGGGTGACACCAACGTGACAGACAGCAGCTGCCACGGGTAGAGAGGGGAGACAGAGTTCTGGCAGAGGAGAGCAGTGTGGAGAGCTACCTAAGAAAAGCAGCATGAAGAGCTACCTAAGAAGAGCTGTGTGAAAAGCCACCTAGGTCCAGACCCTGGTAAATAGAAGAACGTTGCCGGAAGACATGGGAGGACAGGTTTTGGTGGAGGAAAACACAGTCATTACAGTATGGACCCTCCTTTTATGAGAATGGGGGATAAAATATGAAGAGCAAGCTTTGTTGGCCTTGCTGATGTGGTCTAAGAACCACAGGTTGGACACAACCAAAGAAGCTGCCATTGATATAAAAACTTGGGAGCAGACTGGGAGATTTATGATCAAGACAGTCTCCATAGGCGATGAAGTCACCATAAGCATTATAAAGCCCTGAAGGTTTGTTTTGGACTTGCTGAGACAGTTAAAAGCCGAGTGGGATGCAAGGATGGCAGTGGGGATGCTGCAGGCACCACCCACTGAGACATGCAGTGAGGATGGGGCACCGGCTGAGGCGGCAGGGCCATGGACACCACACCGGGTGTGCAGGAGGAGAGGATGGATGAGGCAGCCCCCATGTGATAGCTCATCTCTAGCTTGTGCTAGAGCTGCATATGCCCTGTGCTAAGCCCTTTGTCACCATGGTCACGCTCAGACCGCCTCTGCCCAAGGCTGATTGGCTTGGCTGTGCAATCACGCCTAAGGTCCAGCCTCTGCTTGGCTCCACTCGCTCATGGGTGGATGAGTCACCGCGAGGTATGACAGCACAGGTACCCGGACGTGCTGGCGGGACACAGGGTCCCAAAGCCATGGTACCATGCACGCCGCTGCCACCACAGCCGGAGCTTGGACAGCCACAGGGACACAAATCAGCAAGGGACTTGAGAGATTCCTGTGGAGGGAACCTGAGCCATCGCCTTTCTGCTGAAACCCAAGAGGATGCAGCCGCTGCGCTGCCGGTAGCTACACCTGCTCCAGTCAGTGTCTGGAGACAGGTAAAGCAAGCAATGATTCTAAGTGGGGATTTTGAGGGTGCAGATAAGATTGACATGCCTGTATCAGGTAGTTGGGAACCTGGGGATGGGCCATTTGAAGCATATCCGGTGCTGAGAGGCAGCGGAACTGTGCCAGATTAAGTACACTCCCTTTCAGTAGCCGGTCCACTCTGAACTGCACCAGCTCGCCGCAAAGTACAGACTAGGATCTCCTGCAGTAGGAGAAATCATGCTGCGATTTCTAACTGCAGAAGTAATTCCTTTTGATATTAAGCAGCTCACTAAGTTGATATATACGGCAGTCCAGTATATGGTAGAGTCCACCTCGTGACACAGTACAGAGGAGCAGTGTGCTGGTTTCACTTTAATTGATATTTAGTAAGAAGGAAGAAACCACCCACTGAAATTATTTTTCCGAGAGAAGCTGCTGGGAGCTTCCTCTGTGCTTGGAAAAAAAACAATAGCTGGTTAGTTTTGAGAGTTGATAATTGATTAAACCATTTAGAAGCTGGATCCACCTCTGTGAGATCCACATTTTAAAAACAGACAAGGCCGGGAAAGCTCTCTTGGCTTCCGGCCTTGAACAGGTAACGAGGGCCGGTCCCTGCTCGGCCTGGGGGCAGGCAGGGCTGGGCTGGGGCTCTGCTGCGGTGCTGGCCCCTCCCGGGAAGTCTGCCGGGTCCTGTTCTGGTCCTCTTCTGCTAGGGCCCCTTCCCAGGGGGCCGAGCCCTTCCTGGGGAGCTCACCGAGCCCTTTGCAGTGGCACCGCCGGGCCAGGCCGGTCCCTGGCTCGGCTGAAATTCTGCTGCGGCTGAGTTTCACCAGAAACTGCCGGGCAGGGGGAGGGGAAGCTATGGACCGTGCTGCCTTTGAGTGTTAGCCTGGTTGCTGAGATCCTAGCTGTCCTTCCCCAGTGCAGCCACCGAAAATCCTCCGTAAACAGTCCCTGGCAGAGACCACGTGACCATCCACAGGCCCGGGCAATATTTAACCCTTTCACTACACAGATGAGACCTGCAGACCATGTCCCTCTCTCCAGGGAAAAAAAGGACAGAGTGATGACACATAGAAAGACAACATGAAGACGTGTTGGTCAGTAAATAAACAGTCAAGCCCCAGATGGAAGGTGAAGGAGATGCCTTAGTATTGAGGCTGAAAGTTCCTTTGGTAAGGCCATGGAGATGAACTGTGATACACTACAATATCCCTTTTAATTCATGAGTAAGTATGGGGGGATGAAGTGTTGAAACTGTAGATGTGAGCAGAGGTATCCATGATGAAGCGAAAGAGATGTTGAAGTAGCTGTGATCCCATGAGAAGCTTGAACAGAGAGAAAGAGTGATAAAGACCCTTTGCCTCCAGGGAAAGAAGACGACCTCTGTTCCCAGAGATGAAGATGATCACAGAGATAGATGAAGAGAACCTTTGTTTTTGAACAGCTCATCCTGAAAAATACTACCCTATAAGTTGACATGGCCCATACACATAGCTGTAGGAATGCTGTGAAAATGGGAGGAGTTTCACAATTGCAGATCTTTTCCCAGGCAGCTGCTATTTGTGGAAATGAAAAGCCATGAGAGAACTGTTTCTTGTGGAGAAGTCTCCATGGCATGGCAAGAGAAACTCCTCTCCCTACAGGAACTGATGAAAGACTATTGTATAGTTGGTAATTGATTTAAAATGCCAGGTTTTGTCTCTACATTGTCAGTTGGGAAAGAAAAGCAGTCAGGCAGGGGGAGGAAAAGAGTTCTGAAGGTTTTATTCTGAGTTTTATTAATCTTTTAGTTCTGTTAATAAAGTTTTCTTCATATCTTTTAAGTTTTAAGCCTGTTTTGTCTTTCTCCTAATCCATATCTCACATCAAGAATTGAGTAAGTACACTGGTGATTTTAGCCAGCACTAAACCCACCACAAGCAGGAACTAGAAAACTTAAGAGTTTTGCAGCAAGATCCATGTTTTGGGGCAGGGATTCCTCAACTCCTAGGACTGCCATCAGTGGGAGACCCATAACTCCAAGCATGATTACATCCATTGGTGGTGGCATAAGCAAAAGACTCGGGGATGCAACTTGTGAAAGAGAAGCTGCATACCCTTAAATCCCTGGTACAAGAGCAACTAGTTCAAGGGCACATAGAACCATCAACGAGCCCATGGAACACTCCAGTATTTGTCATACAAAAGACATCTAGTAAATGTCTTGCTACATGACTTAAGGAAAATCAGTGCCGTTATGGAAAGCCTGGGTGCTTTGCAACCTGGTATGCCATCTCCTACCATGATACGTTTCTGATTGTGGACTTGGAATATGGTTTTTTTACTATCTCATTACACCCTGAAGATATCCCAAAGTTTGCTTTTACAGTGCCATCCATTAATAACACTGCACCAGTCAAGCACTATCAGTGGAAAGTTCTGCCACAGAGCATGAAAAAAAGGCCCATAATTTATCAGTGGTACATTGTACAGGCACTCCCATCAGTAAGAGAACAATTTCCAGAGGTGTACTGCTATCACTACATGGACAACATCTTGATAGCAACCCCAACCAAAAAACACCTTTCACAGATTCGGTCTAGCCTGATACAAGCATTAAAAACATTTGGGCTGCAGGTAGCACTGGAAAAGGTGCAGCAGCACCTTGGAAATACTCAAAGTAATGGATCAGACCATCCAGCTACAAACAATTCAACTCTCAGCCAAAATTTGTACTTTAAATGATGCAACCCAAAAAATTTTTGGTATCAGAAACTGGGTTAGACCCTATGTAGGATTGACAACCCAACAATTGGCACCCTTATTGAATATCGTTAAAGGTGATCCTGAGCTAACTTCTCCTGGAAAATTAACCCCAGAGGCAAAAGCCGCTCACAAAACAGTAGAGTAGGCCATTACGAACAGACAAGTCCACCGGATATGGCCAGAGGTGTGCATTACTGTATTCATTTTCATTGTTGATTTTCACCCTACCAGTATTACTGGACAGTGGGATGCTCAGTACCCCAACCCATTGCACATTTTCGAGTGAATTCTCTGTCACTAGAGGACATGGAATGATTCACACAAACACATCTCAGTGGTGTGATAGAAAAAAGAGAGCTTTATTTTCCTGACTCCAGTATTTATAGATTTTTTACAATGACCAGGGATTGGATAATTAAGTTACCACCTTCCCAATCACACTGGTCATGCGAAACATACATCAAAAGACGCTTCTTAGAAGGAATGTATAAACATCTATGTTTATAGTTACTTTCCTGGGAAAGTGTCTAAAACTATGAAAAACAAAATCAGAAGGCTTATTTTTCAGGGCGACAGATTCTCCTACCTCACCAACCTAAAAAGATAGCACCTATCATCTTCAAGTTAATTGCACAATTAATCATCAAATGCCATCAGAGATGTTTACAATTAATGCAAGAGATCCTTCCAAATTTACTATACCTGTGCCAAAAGAACACTTTGAATGGTGCTTTGCCAACAGCACAGCTTTACAAAGTGCCTTGCAAAATTTCTCAAGACAAATTGCTTACCGTCTACCAAGCCATAGATTACTGCAGTTGAGTGGGACCACTGCACTATCTCTAAAGCCACTAAATAGTTGCACACCCCTGAAAGGTGTTACAGTATTTACTGATAATTCTGGAAAAATGGGAAAAGCCATTGTAACAAGGAAAGAGGAAAGTAGACAGCAAACATTGGAAGGTTGTGAGAGTGGATCACCTCAGCTGGTGGAGCTATGTACTGTAGCTATGGCTTTCCAATATTCCCCATATTCCTTTTAATATTGTGACTGACTCTGCCTACATTGTTGATATTACACAGAGATTACACCAAGCACTATTAAGAAGAATTGACAATGCACCACTATTTGACTTACTAAAAACTTTGTGGCACACCATCCAGGCCAGAACTTGCCCTTATTACATCTTACACATCAGAAGTCATACAAATTTACCAGGTTTCATTGCAGAGGGCAATGCTCAAGCAGATTAGCTAGCTAGCCCTGCTTGGACAGCACCACAGCCAGACACCACAGCCAGCACCACAGCACCCGGGGCCAGGCCTTAGTCCCACGGTGTCCCCAGGACCGCCCCTTAGCCATTGGGGCTGGCCACGCCAGGGAAACGCCCGAACCGCCCCTGCCCAGAGCTGATTGGCTCAGACCAGAAGCCGCGCCTACCGTCCCGCCTCCGCTGGCCACGCCTGCCTGCCGCTGCTGCGGGTGGGGGGCAGAGGTGACGTCAGGTGAAATGCCCGGATCCAAAACCGGAAGTGCCCCAGAAGTAAGAAAAGGCATACCGGCGACGGACTCCGGCCCGGGGACAGCACCCAGCGCGGCTCCAGCTTCACCACAGCTACAACCAGAGCGCTCACAGCCACAAGCAGACACACAGCAGAAAAAAACTCACAAGACCTCCACAGAGAGAACCAGAGTCTTCACCTGACGCCAGCTCCAGCTCCAACACCACTCCTGTCAGACACTATCCCAACGCATGTGAGCTTCAGACTACAAACCCTGATGAAAAATGCAAACTTGTCTACTTTAACTCTCAGGTATTCGAACTTGAAACAAAACCTGTTTTATATATATGCACGAGAGTTCTAATCTGTATTACAGTGTTTATTATCATTGTTAATTTGCATCCTACAAGAATTATTAGTCAGAGGGTATCACAATGGTCCCTCAAAAATGAGAAACTGGATACCAACTCACAATTAATACCTTTATTTGACGTCCTAAAAAGTGACCCAAAATTAACTTCCTCTAGAAAATTAACCTCAGCAGCAAAAGCTGCTCTTGAAACAGTGGTGCAAGCTATCTCAAACCAACGAGTCCACCAGATATGCCCGTAAGTGTGTTGCACTGTATTTGTTCCCATTGTAAATCTGCACCCTACTGCTATTATAGGGCAGTGGAACACCCACTGGCCTGACCATATACACATCCTAGAGTGGCTATTTTAACCTCATCAACCAAAAAAGACAGCACCACAGCCAGACATGCTAGCACAAACAAAAATGTCACATGATTTCTTCTATCAAAGTGTTCAGATGCTACAACAGCAATTCCACCTGACAAACACAGAAACTCGTAATATTGCTAGCACCTGTGCTGATTGCCAGGGCCACACTGCACCACTACAGATGGGGGTAAACCCTCGTGGACTGGGTACCTTACAAATCTGGGAAACTGATGTCACACACATAACTGAATTTGGATGTTTAAAATATGTACACTTATCTATTGATACCTTTTTATCAGCAATATGGGCTACAGTGCACGTGGGAGAAAAGGGTCAGGATGCCATTGTACACTGGCGGTCAGCCTTTGCTGTTTTGGGCATCCCTCACACCATCAAAACAGACAATGACCCTGCATACACTTCATAGAAAACAAGACATTTCCTACAGCTCTGGGGTGCAGCACACCACACTGGTATTCCTCAAATAGCAACGGGACAAGCCATTGTGGAAAGAGCACATGGCACTTTAAAGTATATATTTGAAAAACAAAAGGGAGGAATATCTGGTGAGATACCACAGAGCAAGGTAGCTAAGGCTATTTATATACTACATCACTTAACAGTATCAGAAAAGTCCCAGAACCCAGTCATTTTAAATCACTATCTATCATTACAATCATCTGGAGATGAACAGTTGCCTAAGCCCAAGGTAATGGTGAAAGACCTTCTCACTAATAAGTGGGGAGGCCCGTGGAGTTTCATTACCTGGGGAAGGGGATATGCCTGTGTTTCCATGGACACTGGAACATAATGGGTATCTGCCATATGTGTCCATCCTGCTCTGTATCCTGCCTGGACCACAAACAACACCCTCCTGACAGAACCTCAACAGAGGTGATGGAGCAGATTGAAGAAGAGTAACCAGAACAACTTATTCACCTACCTCATGAAAATCAGAGACTCTTGGAAAGACAGTTCACTTAAAAACTTTGTTTACAAATTGTTTTTCTGCTAAGTTGGGTTTTCTCATGGTTCTAAATGTTGAATGTTACAGAGTTCAGGTATAATCTCAGTTCTGAACAGGTTCTTTTTTAATGTTAAGTTGTAACTTCTAACTATAAGTAGTTGCATATAACTATATATAACTATAACCTGTTGCATGTTAGCTTGAAGGATTGTGATCTTACCTGCCAGCTCGGGAAGTGAGTGTTGCAAACTCAATTTAGTACACAAAGCATGTTGCTAGCCAAGGAGAACTAAGTTTTGTCAAATTACTTGGAAAACTTCATTCAAGTTAAACCCATGCTGTCCCTGTTATCATGTCTGCAAAGGACCCTTTCAGATAGGATAAGAGAGAGCGTTTTATATTTTTTAATTTCACCAAAAAGGGTGAATTGTCACAGTATTGTCACAGTACAGCTGGTCTGGACAAAGTAAATCTGACCATAACACAAATCTAATTTAGCTAGCCTAATTCATGTCTGAACATGTCCCTGGATAAGTTACAGGGGACCCTCTGCCAGACCCCTTCAAGCTGAGAAGAAAGCACACCACTGGCCAGGATGCTGGGCAGGGAGAGAGATCTCAGCCAATGGCTGTCTAGCCCGGGAAATTTCAATTCAGTATTTAAGTGAGTTCTGAATAATAAACGAGGCTGTTTTGTCTTGTGAGCACCTGGAGCACGAGTTGTGAGTTTTGTCTCCCCATCCACGGCTGGCACGTTACACAGTGCCACCCCCTGCCATAGGCAGGGACACCTTCCACTATCCCAGGTTTCTCCAAGCCCCATCCAACCTGGCCTTGGACACTGATAGGGAAGCCACAGCTTTTCTGGGCAACCTGCTGAGCCAGGGCCTCAGCACTCTCACAGGGAACCATTCCTTCCCAATATCCCATCTAATCCTGCCCTCTGTCAGCTTAAAGCCATTCCCCTTGTCCTGTCACAACATTCCCTTGTCCAAAGTCCATATCCAGGAAGGTTTAAGTAATACCATTTCCTTTAGGTAGGAAGAATTTCCATCACGGGTGTTTCTGCTGACAGCATTTTTTCCCCCTCCCTTTGTTTAGGAGAAGCAGGAGATGCGTGTAAGGGGAGTTCTGCAAAGCTCCAGCATTCCCAGAGGAGGAAGACTGGCTTGGCAGTCTTCAAGGGCCCTCTGCCACAGATACAACAAGCAGCTCCAGCCAGCTCTGCCGGCAGATTTATCCAGCGAGCATCCATGCCGGATGTGAATGGAGGTGTTTGGGATTGGGATTGAAAGGGGAGTGATAGCCACCCTGCTCTGTGAAGGCAGCGCTCTCCAGAAGAGAGGGCCTTTTATCCCTTCTTCCTGTCACCAGGGACAGGACCCAGGGAAAGGCTGGAGCTGTGTCAGGGGGTTGGGATGAGTATCAGGAAAAGGTTCTTCACCCAGAGGGTGGTGGGGCACCAAACAGGCTCCCCAGGGAATAGCCATGGCCCCAAGATTGTCAGAGCTCCAGAAGCATTTGGACAATGCTCTCAGGAATGCACAGGGTGGGATTGTTGGGGTGTCTGTGCAGAGACACAGACTGAACTGGATGATCCCTGTGGGTCCCTTCCAGCTCAGGATATTTTGTGAATCTGTGTCAGCTGGACATTGGCACAGGGCTCATAAGACTTGGCTTCAGAATTTACCTGAATTTTTAGTGGTAAATGGGATTAGTCTGGTAAAATAGAGAGGATGAGCTGGTACTTGGATTGGAGCACAGAAAGGCATAGATGGCTCTTCATAGACCATTCAGGCACTCCAGCAGAAGACAGGAAGCTAAGAAAAAAAGAGGCGTTCCCAGATAGAATGGAAAGATAAATTTGAGCGTAACTAAGGGTGTGAAATGTGGGTCAAGAGGGCAGTGAACAATAGTAAGAAATATGCTGAGATGACTAAAGCAGTGAGAAAGAAGGTGAGGAGAAAAGCAATTAAAAAGATGAGCAGAGTCACTCTAGTTTGGCACTGAGAGCTTGATGGCTGGACAATATACATGAGGAGAAACTAGTAGCCAGGTGGACGTGCAAAGAATGACTAACAAGGCATCAGGCAATGAATTCTGTCTGTCAGGTGCTGGAAACACAAAACCCAGCATGGAGCCAAGGAGGAGTCAGAGCATCATTAATTCAGTCAGGTCTGCTGCAGTCAGGGATCCGGGGTCTCATTGTGAGCATCTAAAAAATAAGGGAATGAAATGGAAAAGCCATCAGCTCCCTGGATACTCTGAAATATGAGGTGCAGCTGCAGCTATTTTTAGAAGCATGAAATATCCTGAGTGGGAAGGGACTCATAAGGATCAATCATCCAGTCCAACTCCTGGCTCAGGACACCACAACAATCTCACCCTGTGCATCCCTGAGAGCACTGTCGAAACACTCCTAGAGCTCTGGCAGCCTTGGGGCCCTGCCCATTCCCTGGGGAGCCTGCCTAGTGCCTGCCCAGCACCTTCCTGGGGTAGAACCTCTTCCTGATCTCCAGCTTTCCCTCAGGTCCTGTCCCTGGAGGCCTAGAGAAGGCTAACACATAGTACATTTACATAGAACAGGGCTTGCAAGCTAGTTGATAGCATTTAGATTCTACTGAAATCTGCTGAAAACTACTTGGACAAGCTATTAAAGATCTAATTCCTATAGATCTGCAACACTAGTAGGCCGATTAATAAATTAATATGGATTCTTTATTAGGAAAAAAAAAAACATTTTAAAGAAAAAAGCTTTTTCTGACAAGAAAGAGGAAGATGGCTTAACTTTAGCAGTATTATTGATATCATCACACTGCTGTGTCCCAGCAGGAGATCCTGTGGAAAATTGTACCAAGATCAAGGACGGGTTACAAGAGCCCTCATTTTCCTTCCAATGAGAAACTGAAGTGTTTTGTACAGATCCTAAGGGCCACTTTGTAGAGGGTGGGATTGTGCTTAAGATGTGGAAGCAACGTCCCTTTACTTTGCCTCTGCCCTGCTGGCATGCCTGGGAAGCAGAGAAGCATGCTGTGAGCCAGAGATCCTTGTGCAGCACACACAGCCATGGAGGCCTGGAAGACTCCCATGGGAGGAGCTGCTGCCCAAACAACAAGAGCCCCCTCCCCGCCTTCCGGTCCTCAGTGTAGGCTCAGGAAGGACTCTGGGAGCTCTCTTGGTCACTGCTGGTCACAGCTCCTTCTCATGGACTTGACAAGGCTCTCCTGCCTCTCCACCAGCATCTCTTTGCAAAAAATGTTCTGTGTTTGCTGCAAACAGTGAAGCTGCCTCCAGGAGAGGTGGGTGATGGTGCCAGCAGCCTCAAGGAGACACGGTCTGCATAATCAAAGGCTCCCTTATGCAAGAGTCTTGCTGTCAAAGCCAGGCCAAAACAGCCCTTTGCTTTTCCGTCATTCTTGACTCAGTGGGGAAGCATCAATGCAAATATCCCTCTGCAGAGAGGAAAGGCTTGGAACAATAATCTACTGCAAAATGGAACTCTCTAGATTTTAAAACACCTTCTGGTGGTCAGGGCATTCAGTAAAACATATCAAATTGCACTTTGCCAGTAAGACCTAAAAAAACTCTAAAAGATAGCTGTATGGAACCTGCAAAATCTTCTGGGTTGAAGTAAGTGCAGGATTGGCAGCAGTGCCATGGCTCACACTTCTATGGGTGTCTCACAAACACTTAAAACAGAGTTATGCTTGAACACTTTGGGCACACCACCAGGATGCTATGGATTCAGGAATGTTAATGTGCTACTGCTGTGAACTGATACACTTCTACGGGAAGTCTCCTCCCATCTTTAATTCACTGCCTGGAAGACCAGAAGCTTCAGTCTGTGTGTTGTTGACTTGACAGAGAGAAATACTTCAGTGGAATGTAAAGGAGCAGCACAGCTGGCTCCAAATTTATTTAACATCCCTGTGTTTACACTGTAATACCTATGGGACAAACAGTGCTGTGATATTATTTGTTGTTCTGTGTGGTTTTTTTCCTCAGGAATAAAGAATCACCACAATCTAAGGAGGCTGGAAAAAGGCCCATATAATCATTTCTCAGTGTGACATGAAACAGAAATCAAAGCTTTCAGACAGTTTCTCCAACTTGACCTATGAAGTCTGGGTCAGCAGTTTTCAGTGTACAGAAAAGGAGGCTCAAGTTACGCTCCTCTTTCTGTGCACAGAAATGATAAGATGAAGGGTAAATCCAAGCACCAGTCATGCAGCAAACTGCAAACTGGCAGTATTTCCCAGAAACTGAAGCAAATGCAAAGGAATTTGCTTTGAGGGTTAAGCATGTGTTGCTTAAATACCAAATCTGCCACATGCCACATCTGTTACAGCCTCTTTCACACAAACCAGCTCTTTTCCTGTGGGGATGAAGTATTTCCCAGCTTGTAAAAAGGACAATTTACCTGGTGGCAGGTAGCCTAGCCAGGTGTAACACTTACTTTATGGAATAAGCCATGGATCCCAGGAAATATCAACATCAAGTTCACACACAACATGGCAGGGGTCAGCATACAGGGACCCCTTCAAGGCAGGACAGCATCAGACCAAAGTAAAATAAGGGTTTCCTCCACAAGGGGAGCAATGCTGAGAAAGGCAAAGAAAAACTCTTTTTTCCATGACTGAAACCCACAGATGCTGAGTCTCCCCTAGCTGTACTGGGATAAAGGTGTCCTGTAGAGCTCCGTGACAGTGACACACCTCCTCCAAGGATGTGCAGGACTCCCTGTGGGATCATTCTGCCTCCCAGCACATTTGGCCAGCATCAAGCTCCACAGCCATAGAAATACCCACTCTAGTCCCACGGATAGCAAAGCTTAAATGGTCTTTCATTTCCAGCTTGTTTTTTTGGATTCTTTCCCACTCTTCTACCCATGCAAGAAAAAAACCTCTTGTGTTTCACCTTCTGAATGTGTGATCCTTGGCCATAGAGCTGTCACACAGACAATCCTGTGTTCAAGAAGCTGTTCTGGGTTGTTATTTGATTCCCAGGGAACTCTGGAGATCTTCATGCAAAAGATGCAGAAAATTCCTGCAGAAGAAACTAAAAATCAGGTGTTTTCCTCTTAACTCCAAGCTGGAGCACCTCCTGGGCAATCACTTTCAATATGCAAAAGGTATGTCCAAAGATATAATAAAATAAATCCTAGGAATGAAAATGGCTTTGTAACCATGACTTTGAAACCTGGTTGGTACCTGAAACAGGTAACTAGTGTGCTCTTACAGCATAGATGGTGACATACTTTGGTGTTTTAGTTGCCTCTGGTGCCGCTATAATCAGTTTTCCTCTGCAGGGAAAAAATTAAAATAAGGTATTTCTGTGGAAGAGTCTTTTCTCCAAAAGCAGAGGGAAGAAAGCAACGTTAAGAAATGTAACCCGGGGGGCAGCATAACTGCTTCTGACAGGGCTAAGACAAAGACACTCTGTAAACTACAAAAACCTTCAGTCCTATCACAAGCCCTTCAGACTTACCTGTAACCAATATTTACAGTATGGGTAAGGATGTGTTTATTCTGTTATATACCTGACCAGACAGAGAGGGAACACAGGCTTTGTAAACACTTCCCAAGTGTATTTATTAGCCAGGACTGATCTATGTCAAAGCATGACCAACTTCATACCTCAAATGGCATTTCATCACAGTGCAGTTGCACAAGCCTCTGTTCTCCCTGAACGCATCCTTGATATGCCAAGGCAGACTTTAGCATACCACTTACTCAGATCAGTTCCTACATTTGTTTGGGCTTGAGCACAGAAGTTAAAGAAACGTTTTGTTTTCTCTGTCCCAATCATTTGAAAAGTTTCTTTCTTTTCTTCCTCCACTGTTTATTATCCACATCTTCGGTATCATCAGGAGGATCTGGCATTACAAAGCCATCAGTCATTTTATAGTAGACTATTGTGGAGTCTGTCTCAACTATAGCCAAGGTAACTGACACCAGGGTGTCGGGATCCTCTGCAGGGAGAGAGGCTTTCTTCAGTATTTCCCTTAACCTAGGAGAGGAAAAAAACCACTTAGAAAGGAGTCCACAACCACCTATGATGGCACAAAGGTAGAACAGTGTCATTTTTATTCAGCCTATTTTCACTCTGCCAACTTGTCTTCACTAAAGTGAGCATGGTATCTGCTCTAATAAAAATCTAAAGCTGTGTAATCAAGCAACAAAAGAAAATAACAGGATCAGTTACACACATCTCTGCTGGAAATGGCTCAACACATGCTTCTAAGCTTTGTTTATGTGCACTTGTGTGCATGTGACTCATCCACCACAATCCTAGCATGGCAATCTCTACTGGCCTTGTTTTCAGTAGACTTATAATTATATAAGTTATAATTATATAAGACTTATATTATATAATAATATATATATATATAAAAAAGACTTATTATATAATTATATAAGACTTATATAAGAAATCTAATTAAATAACACCTGGTGTTCAGCTGGAGAACTGAATAATTAAGACTTGTTCCAATTGCAGAGGTAAGTCTTCCAGTCCCTGTGCCACAGGTCTCTGCCAGACTGTGGAAGGCCCAGGAGCCCAAGCCAGGTTTCTCTACCTCCCTATCTAGACTAGAAGCCACAAGACTAATGTTCTTCTTCAGAACAGTCAGCCCAAATAATGTCTTCCCTAAAAGCTCAAGACAAAGTTATGCAATTTTTCCTGTTTAGCTTATTTTAGGAGTAACATGCCAGTTACTTTTCGGTTCAGAGCTCAGGACAACACTGATCCCTGGAATCCCTGGATTCCTGGTCGGACTGAGGAGTAAGTTCTGAAGGAGTCTGGTGATGGGAGACAGAACAGTAACACTTCCCACAGAACATTCCAACAAAAGAGCTTCCTGATTCCCCCTTATGTCAGGTGCAAGAGGGCTCCTCTAAGATTGCTGGGACAGGTTACATTCCAGGGGGAGTTCAACTGTGCACCAGGAAAAAATAGTCCTGGCTTCATGCACCCTGGAGAGTTCATCCAGCAGAGTACAGGCAGCTCTGAAGCCGGGCATTGCAGCTGAAAACAAGGCTCTCTCTAAAGGCACCAGCTTTCAGGCTTCAATCACCATCTTCCCTCAGAATCCCTTTGGTCCTCTAATAAAAGCCAAATGGAACCCAGCAGAGAATGAGCAGCAGCCTGGAAAGCCTCGCTGTTAAGCTCATGACCTTCTTAAGGATCCATCTGTGTTCTGAGCTGTGTATAATCTAGTCTGGTAAATTCAGGAGAGCCTTTCCTCCTGCCTGCACCACTGGCAGAGATACACAGCAAGGCAACACAACAGTTAGTTATTTCATGCAACAGAGATACCACGGCTGAGAAAAGCCCCATCCTAGCCCTCCCACATAAGCACATCTCTAACACAGCAAATAAGATGAGAGAGACTGTGCTGGCCACTGGCAGAGGAGAGCCAGACACTGTAAGACTCCTTCAGGTAATGGGACATCTACTCCTCACTGCCACCTCAGCAGTGCCTCTGTCTGCGCATTTACTTGGTGGTTAACTTACTCTGTGCTCAGCACCTCCAGATCCTGTCACTTCCAGCCCCTGTGCAAAGGTACCCCCAGCACCACAATGTCCTGCCAAAACCCTGGCAGGGGACAAGAGCCTGGGAAAAAATTACAGACGTCCTTCTTGACACAAGCAGGGAGCAAGAATCCAATTGTCTCATGCAGAATCATGAAATTATTTGGGTTGGAGGGGACCTTAAAGCTCAGACAGTTACATCCATGGGCAGGGACATTATCCCAGTTTCCTCCAAGCCCTGTCCAACCAGGCCTTGGACACTTCCAGGGATGGGGCTGCCACAGCTTCACTGGGTGGCCTGTGCCAGGGCCTCAACAACCTCAGCAGCCAAGTGTCAGGAGAAAGCTCTAAGTTGGCAAGGCCAGACCGGTGGCAGAGACCCCATGAGGAAAGAACTATACATGAAGCAGTAGAAATTAATCTCTCTTTCTCCTGGGAATGAAATATAGAATTAATGATAAAATGCCAAATTAAAGGGCACAGCTGCCCAGGAGAGATATCTTGGGAGCCAAAGAAATAGAACTTCTGTTGAGTGTGGGCAGTGTTGTATCTGAGAGTAGACTCGGGCAGAGGCCTGGATTCACCTGTCAGCCAGGGCAGAAGCGCCCTCCTATTTTCTTTAGTACCTGTCACAGGTTTTCCTCATAGTCTATTAGGAGGAGGGATGGAACAGTAAGGCCTTAGATCTACATTCCTAATACTCATTTCTTCTTATAGTGCCAAGTACAAACACCTGAGACTATTTCCCCCTGTTTAGCAACTAGGACTTCGTAGATGCCCCATGATCCCAAAAGCAGCCAGTCCTGACAACACGTTAGTAACATTTCTTTGCATTTCTTCTTCCTTTTCAGGAGACAAGAGTTCCAGGGTTTATGTAAGGAGCACAAAGACATGCCACTGCATCAGGAGGATCTGCTAACTCTGCTGTCCAGAGATAAAGAATGACAACTGCAAATGTTTTCTTTTTCCTCTTCCCCTGTTCCTCCACACAGGCAGCCCCAAGACAAGGACTCTCATTCACGCATACCACAAGAGCCACAGTGCACTGCAGCACATCTGCAAAGTGGTGAGAGGCTATCTTTTAGTGGGATAAGCTTTGGAATTCAGGAAGTCTGTGTCAGACATCATCCCTTGACCTCCTTCCCTGAAGGCATCCCCAGCAGCCCCTGTGTCAAGCCTGCTCCCAACATTCCTCTGTACCAGCAGACATTGCAAAGGAGCCACGAAACCTCTGATTTTACGGTGCTTGCTGCCTGCCACGAGCAGGAAGATGAAATACTGCAGCAAAGGTATAGCTTTTGTAATCCTTTTAATGCATTTAATGTTGTCTATAGAAAAATAAAGCAAGCATAAACTGTTGGTGGCCTTCTGAAATACAAAGAATGCATGTCTGACATCCTAAACAAGCAAGAAGCTTTTACTTCAAGGAAAACAGCTATTAAGGCTGCCCTTCTCACAAAACAGCTGCAGACAATGATGGAAATAAAGTCCTAGGCAAGAAGCCCATGTGGTAACACTCCCCAACAGAGCCAGCTGATTTAGATTACCCAGTCAATGGCTACCAATAAGCTCCTTAGTGACCAGTACAATCTGCTACACCATACAGGTGATGACAACTATAAAATATGAATTTGCTTAAATAAAAGTGGATTTAACTTTTCTGAAAGTGTCAAAAATTAGTGGAACAGAGGAATTCAGTGCATCCAGTAGTCTGGCAAATGCCAGCAGCCTTGACCACCTACATTCCTCAGCACCCTGAGCAGCCTTTCCCTCTGGGTCACAGCTGTGTCAGGACACACTCTGGAACTACTGATAACTGATGGAACACTGACACCAAGGGGCTCACGACCACTTTGGGCTTGGTTCCTCAGTTGTGTTCCAACAGTGTGAGCCCCACAGAAGCTGTGGGGTCAAACCTTTGGCATGGCCTGGCTCTCCCTGGGTCCTCCTTTTCCACAGGAATAACAGCATGCACACTCCACTGTCTGCACAGCCAGTTTTCAGCAGAATGGAGAGACTTGACACAAGAAAAAGTGCAGCTGAGAAGCAGTTCCTGCTGTTCTGCAGGGTCTCAGTAAAAGCTCAGCACATTTTCACTAGTTTCAAGTAAAGCCTGTGCTGGAAGAATGCACTGTGTCACTTCATCACCTCCTCAAGGACAGCAGACAAGATACTCCATCACCTGAGCACATGTTCACCCACAGGCTCAGCCTGGTAACGGATATCAGGGATAGACACTGCTACCCGTGCCACCTCCTTGTGATTTATGCCAATGACTGCCTGGTAAAAAAACAACAAACATCTAGAGCCCCAAAAGGGTGCACAGAACAATCCAGCAGTGTGCTGCTTCATGCACAGTGAGAAATCTAAGCCAAAATACATTGCACTACTCCTTTGCCTCCTCTCCCTCTGCAGGCTGAAAAGCCAGGAAATGTTAAAACAGGCAGCACAGAAGCTTTAGGTGTCCCACACAAAGAAAGTACCTCTTGAACAAAAGCATTGTGAAAGAAAAACAACTGAACTTAGAGGAATACAGATACCACAAGAAACACTCTAAAGTTTTATAAAAACCACATAAGTAGAATAACACTAAGTATTTTTTATAAGAATTCTTATTTGTTGGAGATCATGCAGTGCAATGTTTCCAGTGTAATCTGAAAGCCCAGTTCTTAAACCTCATGGTGCCTGCATGCTCACTCAAATACAGATCTGCTCCCACCAGGCCAAATGCAAACAGGACAAAGCCCTCATTATCTACCCTGGAAGCAAACACACATTCACCTCATTCTCCAAGAGATGCAAAGTATTTCACCTCAAACACTGCTGCCCAAAGAGCTGGCATTTCTAAAACACTGTGCATTAGAAAAAGGGCTTAGAAAAGGTTTCCTAGACATCTCCAGTCAGCAGGGATTGCTTTTTTCTACCGAAGAATTAATAATAGAAGCAGGTTTAACTTACTTAACATTTGCAAGGAGCACTGCAGCTAAGGGAATAGCACTAGCAATGTCATCCTGCATCTGTCATTACTGCTGCATTCAAACTCAATGATAGCAGTGAACTGACCTGGTCTTCTATTACTGTGACAATTAATAGCTTTAAAATAAAACAAATCCAAAAGCAAAACAAGAAAATCCACACAAATTCATCCAGAGTGTAGAGGGGAATGTGGCATCCTTCCCCCATCTTAATTTTGCACTATATGCCCTCAATACCCATCAAATCTGTGCTGTGTTTCCCAATATCTGCTCCTAACAAAATAACATTGCCCTTTTCTCTGGGAGAAAGAAACAGATGTACAGCTGGTGACACTGAGGTTTCAACTGACTCTGCAAAAACCAACCAAGGGCAGAATCATAAAGAATTCAAGCAGCAAGTTCTGTGATGAACAAAAGAGCATTTCAGATACACATCCCATGCAATGCCTCTGAGAAGCAGCATCACTGCAAGCTCAGAGCAGTTTTATGGAGGTTCACAGAGCTCCACTCAGCTGAAATGGAACTACTGCCTTCTATCCCATAAAAGCCAAAGGCTTTCAATCTGCCCTTTATACTTGGATGAATAATTCCTTGCAGGCTTGGCCAGCCTGAACAGCTCCCTCCCCTGCTCGCCAGGCAGGGCTGCAGAGTGCACACAAGTTGGTCTCTGTGCCACTGCAGAGATCATTACCCCAGGCATTGGAGCATGCCATAGTCCCAGGCTAGGTCAGGACCAAGGCACAGGAACCTCCCAGAGAGCACAATTCCTTGGATTTAGCCAGCACTGTAAACTTGAGCACAGCTTGCCATCAGGAATGCTGCTCCAGACCCTGCTCCAGGGCAGGCAGCAGCATTAACCCAATGCCTTGAAATGTGTGGGAAGGAGCACATGGGGCTGGGAGAAGGTATAAATGCATACCACTTTTCCTTGGGATTTTTTTCCAAAACACATGAACAGGGAACTCTAGAAGAAACTCACTTTTTGTAATGGAAACAAAAAAATAAATGCAAATAAAAAATCACATGCCACACTGGTCAAGAGAAGGAATTGAAACCCTGAGGAATATAAAGATCTTTTTCCATGGAAGTTCAAGAAGAAAACAAGACAAACCACACAAAAGGGAGATATCAAAGTTCTGCAAAGTTCTACAGACACACTTACTACTGGATGTTCAGCCACAGTACTGCATAATCAACTCTGCTGTGGGAACTGCAATCTCATTTAAAATATTAAATTTTAAAAAAAAGTTAAAAATACTAATAAAGAACTTGCATTTAGGAGCCACTAATTACATTTTCAGTGGGTGATTTACTGCATGAATAAATTACGCTTATAGCAAGGATTACTAACAAAACTGTGCCAAGGATGCAAGATGCATGTCAGACTTCCAGAGTTTTAAAATAACAAGATTTTTCAGTTTATAGTGAGATTTATTTCACAGTCTACAGACTTTGAAGACAGTAAATTCCAGTCCTCACATTTCCTTCTCAGGATGCTTATCAGCTTTAAAACAAAACATTTATGTATTGCTTTTTTCTAAAGTAAGTTAGCATTTTAACAGAATAAGCCTTCCCAAACTTGTAAGGTCTCCATAACCTCAGGCAACTTCATCCTTCATTTACAACACTTGTACACGAAATACAAACAGAGCAGTGACATGTCATTTAATCTGTTTATCTGCAGTGTTTTGCTTAGACAGAGTTATTTGTCTGAGACAGACAGTGCCCAGTTCTATTAGATCGTGGACCTAATGCCCTGGTCCTTGAAGGATAAGGCTTTCTAAGCTATCTAAAAATTCAACTGTCAACACTGTGAGCTCTCCCAACTTGCTGAGCTTAGTTTATGCAAGTCATTTCTGCCAGCTCTGAAGCAGTATTCCCAGAATTTGACTGCTTCCTCCACTCTGGGGAGCCACAGTTCTGGAATGTACTGAAAATGAGGTACTTGGCATGCACTAAGGTGTTATAGTTGAGCAGCAACTACACCTCAGCCTACGCACCTACAAACTCCTCCCACAAGCATGAGTCCCTGCTGAATTCAGAGGCTCCCCAAGCCTCAGCCAGCTGTGTGTGGGTCAGAGCAAGCCAAGACAGAAATTGCACTGTATTCCCCAGGGCTTTGCTCACAGAAGATTCAGTAGTCTTCATCTGAAGAACATACAGAGCACAAAGCCACTTCTCAAGACTGTGTAAGATCATTTACTCTTTGCTCCAGAGCCCATAATTCTGTAACTTGGTGGACTCCTCTGCAGCCCTACCCTGTCACAGCTGGATAAGTAGCTTCCACCCAGCTCTGCAGAAGCGGACAGTGAGCTTATGAAGGAGAACAGCTTTTGCCCTCAGCAGTTAACTGTCATGCTCAAACTGGACATGATGAAATTTTGTAATAGGCTAAAAAACATTGAGGCACTCATATCTGTCGTTTGCCTAGATGTCCTGCTGGTAATTTCCACAGCAACTTTCCTATGGCCTTTTAAGGACACACTTCTCAGTAGCAACCAAGTAGAGAACTTCATGAGACACCTGAGAAGGAAGAGCTTGGCTGACATGGATTTGATGTAGAGAACCACTGCTATATTTCTCTGGAAGACCAAGCCCACAATAGTGACTAATATTTGCAAAATGTGAGATCTTTTTTAGCACATACATAGTATTAAAATCCACTGTTTTCTAGTGAATCACTTTCTTTCTTCTACCAATAAGAAAAACACAGAGCAGAATGAAGATGGAAGTCTGATTTCAAGGTGTCACTTCCGAACCCTACCAAGATCTTACTAGTTAAACAAGGAAGTGCTGCCCATAAATGATGCTGTTACTGGCTTCTTTCGCAGTTAGCACAATTCCAGGCCCAGAATAGAGACAGAACATTTTCACCATCCCAAATCCTTCCAAGGGCTTATTTTCAACACTAAGCGAGCTGCATTCACTTGTACTCGTACCTCCTCCCCTGCTTTTAGTAAGTAACACAAAACCCAAAGCACTGCTTTGACCAAAATGCACATGCACGTTCAACACCACAAATATAAGTGTTGTACACAAATACAACCTCCCTGCCTGACAACATCCATGGATATTGAACACATACAGGCTTTTATGGACATACCTGGCACTGCAGCCTGGGATTCAGCTAATTTTAGTGACAATACACCCTATGTTGTTGCTCTGCAGCAAACCCGAGTCACAAACTGTACTTTTAATCAATGTGATGCATTCACTCTTTGCCTCTCCACACATCCTTCCAGTACCGGATTCTAGACACTCCGGTGCCAGAGGCAGAGCAAACAGCATCACCACAGAACAAACAAGTGCAGAGGCTCCTTGTGAAAAGATCCAATGACACAGTAAAAGATAGGACATGCATGCAGTGGAGTATCTGTCATTACAAGTCAATCAGAACATACTCCTAGCCTTTACCCAATGCCAGGAATCCAAGTTTTCAGCCCAGGTGGAAACACACTATATTAACCAAGCACAACAGCTCAGCACGTAGGTGGAATTCCTCAAAGATCCCACATCCTCACTGGCTGCCTTCTATTTCCACCTAAAATCTTGTCTGAGCTGAGAGTTGCAGCATGTCCCTTTCATTCACATTCACACACACGCACGCACGCACACCTCCTACTTATAGACAGGCTGGATGACACTCAGCATTTCACCTTGCAAGGTGCTGCCTCTCAGCAGCTTTCCTCTGCTACGGAGATCACATCATATTTCTCTGCAACACCAAGCCCCCAGGAATGATTGACCAATGGCAAATATAATACTTTTTTCAGCACAAAAATAGTACTAAACCCCATCAATATCTAGTAAATAATTTTCTTCCCCCTCACCCAACAAACAGCAAAATTATGATAAAAGTCTGTTAGCAAGACATTGATCTGTCACTTCTAAAACCCAAAATAAAAAGCAAAAACATCTTAGAGTGCACACACACATCTAGTAAGTGCAATTAATTAGCTACCTACCACTGTGTCAGGCTGCAGCCCACAGAGCAAGAGGAAGCAGCAAAAAACAGTAAGATTTGCAAAGCCAGCCCTGAGCCAGCTCCTAGCAGGAGTGGAAACAGAAGAAACTGAAAAATGTACAATCATATGATGCTGCTGAAATAGTTCAGGTCTTCAGAGTCATATAGTAAACACCAGTCAGAGAAGGCAGCCTTTATCAGAGTAAATTGTGTCTGTGGCTGCTCTAGGGGCCAGTTAAAATAGACTGTAAAACTACTGAAGTGGAAATTTTCTAGGCTGTATCTTTAATGTAACAAATCAATGGCTGTGCTGTCTTCTGCTTGAAGAATTGCTCTTGCATGTGTGAGGAAATTAAGCCAAAAATCACAGGCACATGAGACTCTAGATGTAAAGTAAGAGGAGTTTCCTATTCAAAGTAGCCAAATTATAATTTGAAAACAAAAGCAAAGTAAACCATACAAGGCTTATCCACAAATTTGACAATAAAAAAAAGCTGCTTCTTGGGCAGCCCCAAGAGGATTTCTTTCCACTTAGGTCCTTTCAAGTCCAGCAACTCAGGAAGCATTGTGTATTTCCCAGAGTACAAAATCAGAACAAGAATGTTCAAAACATAAGCTGTGTATGCAACTCCAGACAACAGGAAGTGTTTATCAGTGGGCATCACGTTCTGCTTGACCGCCAGTAATGATTTCCAGACAGGGAGAGGCAGAGACTGATGCAAAGCTGAGGTTTCCTTAACGTTCCAAGCTGCCTGTATGTCTGCAGAACCCAAAATAACGCTGCTTACAGGCTGACAAGTTGTTTTCCTCTGATATTCCTCTATTTCCTCCTCCTTCCCCTCTTAACCAAGCCATCACCAGCCTGTAAAATGTATCTGTGCTCCATTTTCTGTCAGTGGTAACCCAAGACAAGCACTGAGCATGCTCTCACCTCTCATGGCTGATCAGGATGTGTGCAGGCACCGGCACCATCACCTGGAGCGCCTCCTGCTCCTTGGCACGGGCATGCAAACACACCAGCTGCAGCTCTTCAACTCCCACAGGCTGCACCTCATGCCAGTTCCTCCCTAGAAATGTTCATTGGAGATGGGAAGGGCAGGACACAAAACTCAAGTTTTAATCACTCAAATAATAAATGCAGTATCTAAGTTAATATCTAAGGTTTTGTTTCCCTCCCTCTCTTCACAGGAAAACTCCACTCATCTGCCAAATTCCCCTCCTGAGAAGCAATCCTGGCTAAAGAAATCCATGGAGCAGGATCAGCCTGCTGGCTCGAGTTGCACTGATGGATGGTGAACAGCAATCTGGCTGACAAAACTATTCTACAAAAGGCAAAAATAAGGTAAAACCATGCAGCTTTTGTCGTCTGAAGCACTGTAACTCAAATTTAGACTTCATCGGCACCCTGAACTGTGAAGCAGCAGGGTACTAAAAGCATGGTTAGCAATCACACACAGTTCTAATCTCCTGCTTGAAGGGATAAGGATGAAGCTTTTGCTGCAGAACTACAGAAATCTTCTTTTAAAGACTATTAAGACATTTTCTTCAGAGGTGTAACAGCAACAGATGCAGCAATTTCTGGACTGTAAAATCCCTCCCTTCCCTGACCTTGAGAAGCGCCAGGCTCCAAGCAAAACTGAAAAATTTTTCTTAGGCTGGCTGGCTGCCTACTCACAGTCCCTTTTCAATAAAGCCAACTTGGAAGAAGCCAGGCAGAAGTTTATGTATCACATAACTCTGCTCCATTCTGAGCAGACACCGGAAGACTACACTGGATTTCACAGGACCATTTGGGTGAGAAAAGCCCTCCAAGATCATGGAGTCCCACCACTGATTTGACACTACCAGCTCCTCCACCAAGCCACGGCCCTAAGCACAACACCTACAGTTTATTATAAATTACTATATTGTTACATAATATTACTACAATGGTTATAAATTACTGCTACCACACTTACAAATTATCTTCTTTGCTACAGGAATCATTGGCCTTTCCAGATAACAGGCCAGCACACAGTAGCCATTTGCTAAATGGTGACTTTTGTGAAACACTATAATTGAGTAACTTCACATTAATCTACAAGTGAGAACTATTACAAGCTCAACCACTGAACTTGTCACTTCACCTTCCTACACTCCTTTTCTTTCCCCTAATCCTCTTTCACTTTTTTTTTCCATGCTGACTGCCTTTGCCCTGGAACTTCTGGATGACATGGGCCCTCATCTTTGCACAGGCTCCAGGAAGGCAGACAATAGAAACTTGCAGCACAAAAAGTCTCAAAATGGGCACCAAGAACTTTGTAAGGAAAGGTCCTGTCCCAGTGCAAACAATTAATTTAATTTAACAGCTCCTAAGGGCAAAGACATTTGTTGGGATACAGTCACTTCCCCGATTTACCTTCTAAGAGGTCCAGGTACACCAAAAATGCAGAGTAGACTTGAGTGCTATCAGATACATCAAGTGACATCATTTCTGTGAACTGAGACACAAAGAGGAACATTGACAAAGGAAGGCACAAGTTAAACTAAGAATGCACACAACATCTCTATAGCCAGCGAAGCCACTGGAGTTTCAAACCAGTTTTAAGGCAATCAAAAAGCAGACTTGTTTCCTAACAGTATCTCAAAAGCTCCTTTTTTCTGCATTCCCCATATTTTAGCACGTAGGAAAAGCAAGCAAAATAAACAAACACAAGAGGAATCACAACTATTTCTAGAACAGCATTAGCTTTGGGGAATTTTACCTATTTTGGGGGTAAATAATTTTACATATTTTTGCTACAACACATCAACATAAGACGATGGCCAAATAAAACACCTCCATATTTTCGGTGTGGTAAAATTAAGATGAAGTCGAAGTTTAAGGCATTTACGATTCCCAACTGCGATTCCACAATTTATAACCTCCACCCCTGCTGGCAGTGGCATCCCCCAACTACCCTACAGGCCGAAGTCCCCCTCGATACACCCAATATAATAGATTATATTGGCATCTCCCCGCAGAACCCTCCTGGGGGGACCCCCCACGTGCACGTCGAGAGCCGCTAGGGCGGAATCCTGAGGGGTCGGGGTGGGAAAACGAGACCCCGAGAGAGCAAGGGACCCCCGTCCCGGCCTACCGTGGGGTGAATCGTGATCCAGTTGCAGCCAGCCGCCCCCGACCAGCTGCCCTGTGCCCCCAGGGCTCTCCCGGCCGCGGAGGACTCCTGACCCGAATCGGTGTCCCCCTCGCCCCCCGTCGCCGGGCAAATGCCACTCCAGCCCGGGCCAGCCACCGGCTCCATCCTCTCCCGCCTGTGTGCAACGCGGCTTCACTCCGGGCGGCGCCGCGCACCCTACCGCTCCCCCGGAAACTGCCGCACCACTCCGACCGTTCCGCCTGCGCTGCGTTCCTACCTCCCTGCCCCCACCGCCAAAGGCGCCTGTTTAAACCCTTTAAATGAGACACACGCACGCACACACAGACACACGCAGAGACAGAGACACAGAGACAGAGACAGACACAGAGACAGACACAGACACAGACACAGACACAGACACAGACACAGACACAGAGAGATACACACAGACACGCAGAGACAGAGACACACAGAGACACACAGACACACACCAACAGACACAGACACACACACAGACACGCAGAGACAGACATGCACAGAGACACAAACATGCAGAGACACAGAGATACACAGACACACACAGACACAAAGACACACAGAGATACAGAGATACACACACAAACACACACACTACACACACACACACGCACACACACACACACACATATATATATATATATGTATGTATGTATATACCCCACATGTATTCCTTTCACAGTGTCTTCTTCTAAATGCTCCAAAGCAAGGAATGCATTATCAATCTGCAGTGTCCAGAGCTTCTATAGACTGCATAAGGGGACTGTGTAAGGGACATGCCTTCAAGGTATTGCCATTAAAACGACTGCTTTACTAGAAATATCTCTGACTTCCAATGGGAACATGCTTTGCCTAATGCCAAGTGTCCCAGGTCTGGCTTATCAGCTACATCTGTCTCAGTGACTCTTCCAATAAATTTCAAACACTGACTATTCTATAATAAAGCATCAGTGAAAATTGGTCTATATGTATGTAACGCATAAATTTGTATGTGGTTTGTAGCTGCAGGAAGTCATCTAATCAATTCATCTAATTCAAGGAATTCTGTGGTAAAATGAGCCGCCATTTTGGCTGCTTAAAAAAGGATTGTGTTAGCCAGCACTCCAAATTCCCTGGACACAGAATAGATAGCTAGATGGGATAAAAAAATCCAGTCTCCAAGATTTTCATGGAAGAGTTGGCAACAGTGGTTCACTCAGCTGCTGGGAAAATAATTGGATGGGTTTGAGTTCTTAGAGGTGAAAAACCAAGTGAAAGGAGATGGATCCACATCAACCTATAGATGAGTCAATTTACATGAGCAGGATGGAGCCTCTCTTTTCCTCAGTGTGGGAAACAATCTAATTTAAAATAAATCTGCCTCAGAGAGAATTTGTCACCTGCCAAACCGAGGGATTATGCCGCTGTCAGAGACAGTTGTCATAACTGGAATCTCTTTGTTTGGTGTAAAGAAGGCTGAAACTGCTGGAAAAAATAATCCACAAACACCAGAGGTTTATGTCCAAAAAGGAGACAGAGGAGCCCTTTTACTTTATTTGAATAAAAGGAGAGGCCATGGGGCATTCCCTTGGGGTCTCTCGATTTTTGGAGGATGCAGCCTCCTTTTTATCCTAATTTCCCGGCTGCGTGTCCCTCACTCTTTCCCCACTGGCTGAGGAACTTGCGAGGCACAGACTTCCCGGAATGCCTGATACCTAAGATTCTCCTCTAATGCATAACCCTCCCTCTTAATTTTTAATTCTTATAGAATCATGGTGTTTCCCCATTATCTCTTTCATCTTTCAATATCCAGTTTCAGTTATCAGCAAACCTACAGTTTGTAAAGGCAAATATCTTTTTTCCATTCATCAATCAGTGGAATCCTTCCTATTGTTTCTTTTATCTCTCAGTTTCATCTATCAGCAGACCTACAGCTTGTTTGTAAAGAGAAATCCATCATTCCTCTCAAAACAAATGCCTTAAACTGATTTCTGTGGGACTTATATTTGCAAAAAGCCATTTCTTCCTCAAAGCTAAAGTATTTCACCACAGAGTGGCTCATTGTCTTGTCACAGCAGGATGGAGTCTGGGTTTTAAAAAACCCCACAGGATATAATTTTGGCCACCAATAATGAAGTCAGAATAAGTACAGATTTCTTTGTATGTGGACATAAAGTCATGCACATTTGCAGGTGTTGGAATGATACTAATTGTCAGGTAACTGTTTACTTGAGCTCTCCAAACTTTGTACCAAGCTGTGTTTGACTGGGAGATGAAGCTGACTCCTTCCTTTTCTGCAAGGAAGAACATCTCATGTTTCAGGCTTCTGCTGCTCTCCCTCTTTTGAGTTCCACAGCACACAGCCAGCACAAGGAGTTGTGTGAGTGAGGGAACTTCCCTTTGGAGTGCGAATTACTGGCTTTGGGATGCTGCTGGAGTCTTTTTGTCTGTCCCCAGCAAATCATTATGGCTCTGATGCTGCTCACAGAATAAAAAGAAGAGAGGAGTCTGAAAAGAGCTGAAGGTAGTATAGATTTCACTGAGGACATCAAGGGCTGCACAGGGTAAAAGCACACTCAGAGTTCTGGCAAAGGCAGACAAAGGAGGGCTTATTTCTGCTGACATAGCCTAAAATCGGGACTGTGACCCAGCTTGAGTGTCCAACAGATGGAAATTGCCAGTTTCCAGACCTCCACATCAAATATATTTTGGTGGCATTAGTCCCCACCCTCCAAATGTGAGCAGTCCCATGGGCAGCAGTGGAATTCTGTGCACATGGATTGTGCTGGCTCCTGTGAAACTCTAATCACAGGCTGCAAAGCTGCTCCTTCTATTTGGTTAATGAATCCAAGCATAAAAGCAACATGTGGCAAACTAACCATGAAAGAAAAGCCTCATTAATGTATCATTCTAGAAGGACAATTATAAAGGCGTTGTGAAGGGCAAACAGGAGGAACACATTTGGACTAATTATTCAGGAAGATGCGTACAAATTGAGAGAGTTTCTCAAATTTTTAACAGGGGCTTATAGTAAAGAGGCAGAGTGACTTTTTAAATGGGCAGATAGTGATAGGACAAGGGGAACACCCTTAAACTGACAGAGAGTACATTTATATTAGATATTAGGAAAAATTTCTTCCCTGTGTAGGTGGTGAGGCCCTGGAACAGGTTGTCCAGAGAGGCTATGGCTGCCCCATCCCTGAGAGTGTCCAAGGCCAGATTGTGTTATAGATGAATAATGTGATAGTCGGCTCTCACAATTAAGTGACGAATATTATGTGTATGTTAAGAGAAGTATTGTAGATGTATAGTTTTGTTACTGTAATATGTTGTCCCATAGCCCTCTTCCCCCTCCCCCTTGTACTGTTTTCACAGCATGGCCTTGGTAGTCAGGACATTTGGGGAGGGCCGGCTTGTTACTAGGAGGCGCGGCATAATGTCACCTGACCTCCAATCAAGATGTAAGAAAATAATCACCAATGGACAGCAAAGAAGGAGTTGACAAGACTCTGTGAGGAGCTAGGGGTATAAAAGGCAGAGCATCCATTTTGTAAATGAGCAGGTGGCTGTTGGTCACGGAGACTTCCAGCGCTGCTTTTTGTCTTTATTCAGTCTTTTGTAATGTTACGGTTTAATAAACCTTTAAAAAGCGAGCGTTGTTTCTCACACTTAAATGGGGCTTGGAACAACCTGAGATAGTGGAAGGTATCCCTGCCCATGGCAGGGGGTTGGAATGATATTATCCTTAAGGGCCCTTCCAACCCAAGCCTTTCTATGACTCTAACAGTATTAATCTTTCAGCTGCGTTCCAGCTGGAACAGTGCATCCTTCCTGCAACGTGGGATGCGTGTGGGGTGTGCAGCTACTTCGTACAGATATTCCGCGGATGTTTGTAAAAAACTTTCTGATATAAAACCTCAAAGTTACTTTAATTCCGATCTTCCCGTAAGCATTGAGCAAACGAATGTCTCAGAGTTAGCATCAATACTCCGAAAGCCTCTCTAAAGCCCAAAACTCGAGGGGAGAAATGTGGGGTTTGCAGCTTTCACCCTGGGTGCCGAGCAGCTACGCTAACCGCAGCCTCCCGGGGACGGCGGGAATCGCACCAAATTCCGCACCTGAAGTCGCGACGGCAGTGCGGAGTCGGGGCGGTCCCAGGGCCATTGAGCGGCGCTTGGAGGGAGGGCAGTGGCGCTGCTCAGCTCCTCCTTCGTCTCCTCCGTCCTCCTCCCTCCCTGCCCCTCCTCCTCCCGCGTTCCACGGGCTGGAGCCTGGACTGCCGGCGGCTCCGCGGCTGCCCCTCGCCCATCATGGCTGCGAGCGCGTCGCTGCTGCTGCTGCTGCTGCCGCTGCTGCTGCCGCTGCTGCTGCGCGGCTGCGGAGCCGCTCCTGAGCCGCCCGAGCCGCCGGGGCCCGAGCCGCCCGCGCTGCCCGAGTCGAGGCTGCTGCAGCCCACCGTGCTGCTCGCTATCCTCGCCCGCAACGCCGCGCACACGCTGCCGTACGTCCTGGGCTGCATCGAGAGGCTCAGCTACCCCAAGAACCGCATCGCGCTCTGGTAGGGGCCGGGCGCGGTGCGGGGAGAGGGGCCTCTGCAGGCAGCCGGGACTGGGGCACTCCGCCCACGTAGCGCGGATGGGCAGGGGCTGCGCCCTCCCGAGGAGCCGGGGCTGTGCTGTGGTGGCCGGGGAAAGCTCGCCGTCCGTTCCGGTGTCTGCTGGGATGGCAGGGTGATGAGTTATCCCAGCAAAGCTGGCCTGGAGCCTGGGAACATTCACCGCCGGAGCATGTGTCCAAATCCACAGGCACGGAGAACTTCCACAGGCCGGCTCCCAGCTGGTAAATCCCGGCCTTTGTGGGAGCTGGTCGGGATGTTCCAGGGCTGGGGAGCGGGCGGGCTGGGTAGGTTCTGGTGGGCATTGAAAGGAGCATTGTTGCCAGGCTGGAAGATGGATTAAAAGATGTATTCAGAAATCTCAGCATGGGGGCAGCTGCGGGGGTCAAACAGGGGTCGGGATGGAGGAATTAAAGCAGTTTGGGAACTGGTCAGTCTGCCTTTGCAGGGGGCCAAAGAAAAAAAAAAGTCTTTCAACCTGACATAAGTGTTGGAAGGAACAGGATTCCTTGGAAGAACTCCGAAAAGATTTTCTTTTTTCTCTGTAGAGTTTGATTGAAAGTTCGCTAAAGTCCATGGTGAGGCTCCTTTTAACTTAAAAAGTTAATATAAGTTTTGTTTTACTTTGAAGGGATGAGGGGACCTTCCTCCCAGTCACATCATTGAAGTGTCATTGAACAGATCTTTCTGTGTGTGCTTCAGTAACATGGCTGTAATTTGTCTCCAGGTACAGGGCTCTGCAGAACATCAGTGCATGGATCATCTTTTTTTTTGGTTGATTTTTTTCCCCCTTCTTTTCGTGTTGCAGGTGTACAATGCAAGTTGTGCTCTCAGGCCAAATTCAGGGTCCCACACAACTGTGGAATCATAAGCTAGTGTGTAGCAGTAGGTAATTTCACATTCCTCTCTGTGTAGATCTGTGACTCCTCATTCATTTGTATCAGTAGGAATTTTGCCAGTTGAGATTTCCTCATAGCAGATGTGGATAAAAACAGCTATTATCAGACCCCATATGGCCTGTGATTCAGCTGAGCTCGGTGTTTTTAAAGACTTGTGGGAGTTGTAAATACAGTCCTGATCACCAAAGCAGAGCGCATCCTGAATTGCCTCTCGCTGTATCAAGTGCAAAGTTTTGGGTTTGTTTCATTTTCTTTTAAGTCCTGCAGATGATTGGTTGGCTCTACAACTTTTCCTGTTGTACAACTGTGCATTACTTGCATTATCCTCAGTAGACTTAAGATTTCTGCAATATTGCGTGGAAGTATTTGTGGGCACTTAGTTTAACATAATTTAAAATATGCAAAGGTTCTTATAAGAAATCACTCCCTATTTAAGAGGATTGTACACAGACACAAGGCATGGCTAAGCTGGAAAATCTGCTGATAAAAATGTCAAGATTTATTAAATGAGAGTGACTAAAATAGTCACAGCTACTGAAAAAGAAGTTCTGAGGATGCACTGAGTTGCCACAGAGAGTGAGAGGTACCTGTGGGGTGGTAGTAATCCCTTGGAGACGTTCCTTAATAAGACTCGAGCTTTTCCAGAGCTGGAAATGTTTGGGACACAAAGTACCCACTCAGAGCAAGCTCACGATATCTATAAAGTCTCTTGAGAACAAATGAAACCATTCAGTCAGTTTCTGGAAGCATCTTGTATTTCAGACAGAGTCCTTTCAGCAGATGAATTCCAAGATTTACCTGTGTCCCTGTGTTACTGGGATAGCTTGGGGAGGAGGGCAGGTGAGTGGTGTTTGTCATGGACTTGCATTCTTCCATTGCCACTTATATTCTACTTAAGCATTTTCTTGAGTAAGTCAGCATTTTAAAATGCCCAGCTGTAGATCTTGAGAATGAAAACTAAAAACATCTCTCAGGCTCCCATATGCTCTCTCTGCATAGCTAGAGGGCTGAAATTGAACAGTGGATTCCTCTGACCAATCTATACGGTGGAAGCTTTATGAGTGACAGTAAAGATGGGTTAAGAGATAATGAGTTTGAAGCAGGCACTGAATTTCCTCTGTGTAGTCTGTATCAATTAATCTCAAGCTTTGTTATCCTGATACTGAGCAAAAGATGTGTGCTGGGCAGCCTTGTGTTCCCTTCTTACCTTTGATCTTAATTATGACTTAATTCTGAAAGTGGTTGTGAGCAGCTTTGGAAGGACTTGCTGACTACTAATGAGCTGAGCAGGCCATTTGGTGTGGGGCCAGCTGGCACGGAGGAACCATGGCCTTGCAGTTAAACCCTTCCTTCCCTTCTTACTTCCCTTCCCAAGAAGCAGGAAGTTGCATCTGAGCTGCCTCCTGGGCCGGTCCCTGGCCTGTGTTAACCCCAGCTGTCCTTGCCTGGGACAGCAGGCCAGGTCATTCTGGATTCCTCGGATTGTGTTGATGACTTCACAGTAGGAGTTTCTTTGGGTCAGCTCAGGTTTCTGTCCTGGTCCTGCTGAGCCTCCAGGGGCAGACTGCCATAGGCAGTCTGGGAGCCTTTGGACCTAGCCATCCCAGTGGGAATGGCAGTCTGCCTGCTTTAGCCACAGAACCTGAAGTGGGTCTCATGTCATCATAGAGGTGCAATGCTGAAGGGAACAGCTGTCCCTTCTTGTGGAGGAGGAGGGGTCACAGCCATCCCCTCCAAGTACTCAAATACCCAGTGCTGTGGGTAATGGGCTGGGGCCTGTAACAGGTGAGAGTCTAAAGAAAAAACCTGGCTGTTGGACCCAAGTCCCGCTTTTTCATAACCACAGAGGGTTCTTCTGATGTGCTGCTTGTGTGGCTGAGCTTCTCCCAGGGCTCCCTGTGCTCCCAGCCCATCTGGGAAACTTGCTGGGGAAGTGTACAGCATTGTTTGTGCTGGGCTTGGAGAACTGTGAAGGGAGGGAACGAGATCTGTATCTTGGACTAAATTGACCCAGAAGTTAGTCAACGTGCCCCAACCCTCTCTTCTAGTGGGCTGAGGTTGTGGGGTTTTATTTTGAGCTTTATCAATGCTGATTGTTTATTTGAGATTGGTCAGCTACAGGTATGGAGTGTTTGCTTGTCAGGCAGGTTCATCTTGGCTGCAGTAGACAGTCTAAAAGTGTATGTATTCAGTAGTTGATCATGTTGCCTTACACTTTCCTTAGTCTCATATTAAGTGATGGTATAGCAAAAAAAAGTTGCCTGTAATTTCATCTTTTGCTTCATCCTAGTGGGTTATCTGTTCTCTCCTCTCTTAGTAACCTGGGGATGGTATGCCTGCATAAATGAGTTGGTACTTGGGAGCAGTAATTAGCTCCTTTTGTGCTTGAAAATCCATGCCTGCTTTTGGGATCAGAGTATGCTTATATTCCAGAAATGATAATGTCAACAATAGTGAGACAGGTGGAAAGGTGGAATAAATCCCAGCTGAGAGATGAAGGGATGTACTGTAGCAGCTCCAGTGAGGGAATAATTTCAACTTAAAAGAACTGGTTGAAGCTCAAAATATAAGCTGATGAGATCAGTATAATTGTATTCAATAATTTTATATTATTAGACTGGAACTAGTTGATGATATCTGAGCATTTTCTTATTCTTTAACGGTTTACTTTTCAAATGTAAAAAAATGCCACATAGAGCAAACTCCAGTGAGATGCAGGCATCAGTTAAAACTTTAATGGTTGTTACTACTCACAGGGAAGTGTTAGCTTTCAAACACCCTGTGTTTTTTGTGCTTGTCTCCATTTGAGCAATGAGGTCACTTTAATCTTCATGGTCACTATTAATCACTTAGGAATGCTGACATTCCAGTCTGCTGGCTCTGCATCTCCTGCTTCTGTCCACTGGTGCTTTGCATCCATTTCAGATGTGCTCACCTGTGCTGTGACTTCCATGTGGCAATATTAAACATAGGTTTTAGAAATTAACTGACTTTTCACTTGGCTCATCCTTTAACTTTTAGTGGGATTTAGTTTCCTGTTTGTATTTGTAGATACTTTAAATTTATTTATTATGTAGTTTTAATAATAGTCATAGACTAAGAAGGGTCAAGAGTGATAGGAGATTTGCACAGCTTTGGAATTGCAATTAAGATCACATTCCTGTTGTGCAAGATGTTGTAGAGAATCTTTCTGCCAGAGAACTTGCATTTAGATGACTGCATCAAAAGAAAGGAGTGAATACTTCCAATTTATAGCTGGGGAGATTGGGGTAGAAGGGTAAAGTAACCTACACTAAATTCTTGAATTTATCAAGACTGGGAATAAAAGAATCAAGAAATGTCAGTTATGAATACTTTTGTGCTAAGGTAATTTTTGCACCAAGGTGCAGTAAAATTACATAAAAATGGAAAACCAGGGGAGGCTAAAGGGCTGTTTCCATCCCAATATCCATAATCACTTATTTTTATTTTTGTTCTTTGTGTTTCTCTCCCTCATCTCAGTCTTGGCAAACTGAAGCAAATGATATAATGAAATTATTCAGCAGAAACATTTGAAGGGAAGTGAAAAATTACTGCTGTGCCTTGCTGAGATCTGCATGGCAAGACACAAACCATTCTTCAGCTAAAAATTGCAGTTCTGCAGAGAAGCCATAAAAGAGGCGTGAGCTGTGTGATGGCAATGTGCAGGGTAGCAGGAGTTTCTTTATTTTTCCCTGTTGTTGTCACAAATTGCCAGATTCTGATGCTTTTGTGATGACATTAAAAAGCATCTTATCCCACACTTTATATTAGGATCCACTAGACAGCAGTGTGACTATTGGGATAAAAGAAAAAAGCAAATATAATTTGGTATTTATAAGCAAAAAGAAAATATAATTTATAACCATAAAATGAATAAATAGCCCTCCAGAGGTACAGGGATAATACCATAAAACTGATGTCTTGAAATGTGTAAGAGTTCTGTATAGTAAGCATAGTGAGCACTGTGTGTGTTTAATTATTTTTTATATCTGAATCCTGCATGGTCTGTATCTCTGAAAATGC